GGGGGGGGGGGGGGGGGGGGGGCGAGGTTAGAGGCAAAATATATTCTTTCGTGTGACACAATTGTTCGTTGACAAAATCAATTCACACTCTGAACTTGTCATTCACAATAAAAGATATTATATTTATAAATAATGGGCTACATATATGTATTTTGTATATTTAATGTGTTTTGTATATTCAAATATTGACTTGGCATTGTGCAAACGCTGTTTTGATGACACTATAATCGACACAGCATGTAATATTGTAATAATGTTATCAAGATGTTAAAATATGATATATATCGCAATGTAATATTTGTATTATATTACAGTGTGTAACATGACTGAAATGTTACTGCATGTTAATCACGTAATGATCGCTAAAGCCAGCGGCACACGATGCTTGTTTTCGTGCTGGATTGCTTGCTGGATACTGCGTTCTGACACATTGGCACATTTCCAAAAATGGATGACAATACACCGATCAGTACGCAGTATTTCCATCCAGCAAACAATCCAGCACGAAAACAAGCATCGTGTGCCACTGGCTTAAAACAATATTAAGTTGAAGTCACAGTATGACATTATATTATGATAAAATAATAACATTTCAATCTGGACATGAAATATTAGAATAACAGACACACTCCTATTTTTAGTTGATTACTTTATTTTTAAAAAATCTTGTAACTGAATAAGCACACTATATTAAAAAAAAATATATTTGTTATTATTTGTTTTTCTTGCATTAGCAATGGAGCCCGCCATTTTTTATTTTTATATTTTGATGTTATTTTCGTATTTAGGGACCCCGAATAACTTTAAAAATAGTTAGACAAGATATGTTTCAATTCTCAAAAAAATTCAGATTGAAAGGATTATGTCAATATTCATTGCATATTAACTGTTATTACATTATTCTCGATGTCTTATATGAAGAATATAAAGTGATAATTTATTTTTCTCTGTGCACAGTAGATAGGTCTCAACAACTTCCTTCCTTTAAATCTCAATAAAAAGAAAATGTCCGACAGATTGAAGATCACATAAAGTCATGGCCTCGATAACATGTACGAGAGTCATGGTGTCCCTTAATATGCATAATTATTGAGTGCTTTTTCAAACGATAAAATATTTTTTAGACAAATGTTCTTTGAAACAGTCTTAAATAAATATTAATAAAAATAAATACAAATTATAGCGAGAAAATTATAACATATTCGTGCAATTTATACGAATTTTTTAAATCACTTACGCACAAATTAGATGTACTTTCCGTGATTACACAAAAATTTACACAACGATAGCATTTCCTGTTGTAATCGGTAATCAGGATTAACATAAATCAAAGTATGTTAATCTTCTATGACAGAATGCAGCGATGACATGCCTTGCCAAGGTCTTGGCGAGCACGCGCATTTTAGTAACTTTGGCATGGCCTTCTTGACGCTTTTCCGGGTCGCCACTGGCGACAACTGGAATGGAATCATGAAGGACACGCTAAGGGACGATTGCGATGACGCTGCAGACTGCGTGAAAAATTGTTGCGTGAGCACCATCATCGCTCCGATATTTTTCGTCATTTTTGTTCTGATGGCGCAATTTGTGCTGGTGAACGTCGTTGTTGCTGTGCTAATGAAACACCTGGAGGAAAGTCACAAACAGGTGACGTTCGGGATATACAACGAAGATGATACCTGATTTTACCCGGACGACAAAAAAGCTTCAAGATATAACGCTTTAATTTCACAGATGGAAGATGAGCTTGATATGGAGACGCAGTTGGAGAGGGAATTGGCCGCTGAACAGGAAGAGCTTTTGGAAGTGGAGGAGGAAGATGAGGATGATATAGGGATGAATGGTAGATTGGACGGTGAGGATGAAGATGACGAAGACAGAGAGCGCGAGTCTATGGTAGGAAACGAGAAAATATGCGCCGCGAGACCAGGACTAGCCAAAGTTCGTTCCTTACCTGCGAACTTTATTTATAATCCACCGAGAGAAAGGAATATCGATGGTGAGAACATTATCGACGGTTGTCATAGACACGCTAGTATCGACTTATTGGCAAATACAGAATTGGAAAAGTTACTTTTTAAAAATAACTCGTTTATGTTATCTATTATTCGTTTTGGAAAATAATTCGTTACTGTTACCGTTTTTTAAGAAATAATGAATCGTTACAATTTTTGTTATTTTTTTTGCCAAGTTACGGAGATTCTTTTAGTTCTTGTTAGGTCTATTCCATATAGAGGAACCTGGGGACACTCTTGATCTTTGGGGGACACTCGATCCGTTATGCAATTGCAATATGGTGTTTGCTAGGCGTTATCCAAAAATTGTAATTCCGTTACCATTATTGTTATTAATGAAGAAAAAAACACCGTTTCTAAACCGTTACTGAAAAAGAGCAATTATAACGGCGTTACCAGCAAAGTTACTTTTTAATTTAAAATTAAGTAGTTGTAATTTATATTTGTTCATTTGTATTTATATATTCATCATGAAATCGATTTAATATGTTATTCTTTAATTAGCGCATTGGCATCCGTATTTTCAGACGCCTCGATTTCCATGTCCTTGGACGAGAAACGTCGCAATTCGTATTACCGTTCGAATTCAAGACCGTCCAAGTTTAAATCGAAACGCCGACAAACCTTCCATTCGGGTCATCACCAACGAAGGTCATTACTACCGATGCACTTTGAGGTCTCCGAGGTATTCGAAAAGCCGGTCAGCAATTTAACCGTACCTCGAATAATTCCGCATCGCCATTACGCCGCCGCTAATCAGACCATCGATTACGTGCAACGTCAAAAGCCGCAGGTGAGGTGTACCAAATGTAAAATATTCCTCGTCTGCCATTTATGTGGCGCTTTCTTTGTGAAAACTTTAGCCAAAAGTCCTGAGCCATTTTTTCCCGCGAAGCTAAATAAATAAAGTAATTATTGTTATATTCTTCATTGGATCTGTTTCCTATTCTGTGACTTCTTTTTACATTGTGCTCTTGCAAAACAAATTTTGTAATTATTTTAAAAATCACATATGCTATGAGGATAGATTGAAAAGTTCCCGACCTGACTAAGAAAAAACATCTTTCCGGGCCAAATGAAATTTATTTCTTAACATAGTCTCCTTTCAACTCGATACACTTGGTCCAACATTTTTCTGGACTTTTCATTCCTTTAGTATAATAATTTTTGTCTAAACTCGAAAAATAGTCATTCACGACGGTTATCACTTCAGCATCCGACGAAAGTTTCTTCCCGGAATGTAGTGGAGGAGCCAAGTTTCGTCGATAGTAATAAAACGCCGTAAAGAATCCTTTTCATCGCGCTTGAAACACTCGAGATACGATCGTGAAATGCCCAACCAACCGATCTCGTTTCTGATCAACAGTGTATCCAACACGCGTTCAGCTTTCTCATACGTAATTCTTTACGTAAAATGTTATGCGTCCGTTCGTATGAGCGGCCTCTACTATCTCTCTCAAAGTTAATCGACGATCGTCCATCACAATTCGGTGAATATAATTGATCATTTCGTTCGTTGTTGCGGTTTTTGGTCGTCCAGAGCGTTTCTCGTCAAAAAATGCTCGTTCTGCCACGTTCGAATTCAGTAACCCAGGTTTTCAGGGTCGTAAACGAAGGAACAGCATATCCATACACTGAATCTAATTCAACTTTAATTTCCGTAGGAGTTTTCCTTTCAGATGAAGGAATTTTATCACGGCGCGATATTCCAATTTCTCCATTGCTGACAAACTATCACACAAAAGGCTGTCAGAAACAAGCTAATTGTTGGAATGACATGAAACTTAGCTCTTTGTGTTTCTTTCAGTGCAATCTATCGGACAAGTATTGAAATTTCTCTGAACTCTCGTTCTTTCTTGGCCAGGTTAGAAATGTTTCAATCTACCTTCGTATATAACGCGTCAATTTTACAGACAACCAGCGAGACACAGGAGAACAAGTCTCTGTTGAGTGTAAGCAGGCCGGCGGCCGGTTCGATCACGCCCGCCGGCTCGAGCAGCAACCTCAACATACCGCCCAAGTTGAACAGCGACCGTTTCCTCATGCCGACCGCCGACATCTACCCGTCCAAAGCGATGATGACTCGCCGGACGTCCAGCGACATGCAATCGGACACGAGCGCAGCGGCCGACACACGGACGTTCAGCATTGCGAACGGTTACGTTGGCGGCAAGCTTCGCTTGGAAGATCAGCAACAAAAACCGAAGGAGGAGAAACGCGCGGCGCCGATGGTGACCATGGACGACCTCGACGTGCAGTCGATCATAAACGAGAGAAGACCGACGAAATTAAGGACGCACGACGCGGTGACGTCCGCCGCCACCAGTTCCAGCGATCAGTACAGCGCGGCCATTCGCGGCGAAGGCTACGGGCACATCTACGCCGCCGACGACCTGTCGCCGTGCGGCAACGAGAGCGGCAGCATCGCGGGCAGTTTGAGCGCGGCGGGCAGCATCAGCCGAAGCAGCGGTGTACTCGCCGGGGTGCACATCGGCGAAGGCGGCGCCATCGGCTCCGACGTGAGGATATATGTAGACGACACGGACTCGGCGAGCAGCAACGGCCATCGTCGCCCGCTGCGCAGCGATGACACCTTGGACGCACCTTCGACCACCGTCTCCTCCAGCACGACGATGAAAAACGGCGGCACCGACGGCGACGATGGCAGCGATAACGGCAGCAGTGATAGTGCTTGCACAGAGAACGACAGGGAGATCTCAGCCAAGAGACCGTCCTCTGTCGGCAGATCTCCAGATTCCTCTTAAAGAATCCAAAGCAAACGAGCCGAAGTTTCATTGTACACCCCTAGTGTTTGCCTCAGATGACTTCAAATCTTCATCCGGATGAAGATGGGATGAAAGTTCGAAAGATTCATCTTATGAGGATGATTTTGTTTTTAATTTGTCCAGATGAAAGTTAAGATATATGGCTCTATTTATCCGAATAATTTTCTAGATGATATTGTTTTTGCATGAGAGACTTTATAGAAATTTATAATGAAAATTACGTCGATCATAAAATTGCATACGGTTAAGCAATTCGTCAACGTAATCACACTAAATTTAAAGATCTAGCGAGAAAGACCAATAATCATTGACTATACTCACTAATCGCTGAGTTTTCTGAACGCATTATTTCAGTCTTTTTCTATAAAACCCATATCAGACTACTGACTGTGAAGACCGATTTGACTGGCGATTACGACTATCGATTCTCGAAGGGCCTATCATAGTGAAGCGTGATGTATTGTAATTGGTCCGTTAAGAATTGGCAGTTGTAATCGGATCGGCCTTCACAGTCGACAGTTAGATACGGGCTTAAAATCGATTGATCAATTGAAAAAAATGATCTATTCTTTTTGGTTGCACCGCTGAACTGGTACAATAAATTAGTGTGACATATTTTTGTTTCGCTCTAACTTATTGCGGTTCAGCAGTATAGCTAAGAAGAACAGACCAAAAAAGACAAAGCTGAAATTTGTTGGAATCTAATCTCCAATCCCTAGTCTGATACGGGCTTAACGTATAGGTCTATATTATTTCGCTCATTTTATCGAAAAATTAGTTCAGAATATGGACCGTAACATCATTTCAGATCATTTTTAGATGAGATAACATATTTTTTATCTAAAATGAAGACGAATATATTTTTGTGCTTTTTTCATCTAGATAAATATAAAGATGATCTATTTATTCATCTGGATGATTATTTAGATAATTTTATTTAGATATCGGCAAATACCAGTTGTACCGTACTACGTCAGTGGAAAGTCACAGCGCGAGGCTGAAAGCGCGGTGTTATCCAAGAAATAAACCAGCTGACGGCTGAGGGCTTGCGGACACGAGAAAGGGCTCTAAGAAAGACTGTAGTGCATGACAATATAGTCGTTATACTCTAGTCACTTCGCCGCCGTGAACTTGCTAAAAAGAAAAAAGAAGACGAGCCGAGCATTTCTTTCTTTATTTTCTTTCAAGGAAGACCGAGCTTCAGGGTTGAAAAAGAAGGTCGGGAAAGAAGCAGAGATGAGGGAGAATATATATAAAAGAAAAAAAAAGCACAACCATCCCGTTTGTGCAAGCAATTGTGCAAACATAAACAATGTACAGTTAGGGAAAATCTACGAATGCGTAGCGCACAGCTATGTAAAAATGCGCACCATGCGTGCGCGCGCGCATAGCGCAACTTAAAAACCTATGACAATCTTTTATTGCCAACGGAATCGACTCCGCGTTCCGTTTTTTTTTCCGAAGTGTCGTGGAAGTCGAACTTGTAGGATCTGATAGGAAGAAGAACGACGTTAGGAATCGTGTCGAAAAAAAATTAGAGAGAGAGAGAGAGAGAGAGAGAGAGAGAATTTCAGTAGTCAGTAGATAGATCTTACGTCGCAGAATTAAGTCGACAACCTCAATTAATTGGACCACTCTGTCTCGCCTTTTTCTTATCTCTCTATCGCGGATTAGAACTCGTGAAAATAGCGCGCGAGTCGCCGTCCGAAGAATCAAGAATAGAAATTCTATTCTAGCAATTCGAGCAGATCGAAAAACCGACGAACAATTAATGGTCTGTGTTGAGTCGGTGAATTGAAATTCTTCTTTGTGCGAACGATACTTATTTTCGATTATTATTAATTAGACATTGTAATCATACCCCGTATAACACAAATATACCATCGACATCCTAGGAACGTCTCAGGAATATTCGAACATCTCCGGAATGTTTCTAGAATTTCTTTTGTCTTTCGAACATTTGTGCTGTACGGGACATTGATTACAAATATCAAGTTTATGTGAACTGAAGTTTATTTATATACTGGTTTGATTTTCCAGTTAGTTTCTTTCCGACCGAAGAATTGGATTTATCAAAAAGTTCAATCGGTCAAATCATGGAATAAAATCATGATTATTCGAACGGTGAGTCATGGGAATTGGTGAAATTATCTTTCTTTCGTTCACTTCTCTCTATTCACACTCTAGAACGTTCTTCTCGTTGATATCTGTGATATACTTTAATCGTAGTATATCTCCTAACGGTAAAAAAAGAGCAAATATCAGCAATGAGATCGTAAAATCGGCGGTAACAGCAGCAGCAGCAATATGAGCGACAACAAGGCAACAATTAAGAATGTAGCTGACTTTTTAAGAACAAGAAAACTAATGTTCTGGTGGCTTTTGCATGGGAATAAATATAGAGACGAGAAGATAAAAATAGAAGCTCTATATACTGTACATACATACACCTATGACCTAGGCAGTCATAGCGAGTACACACACACACACATATATATATATATACAGGGTGTCCCAGACCACCCGTCTCACCCGATTTTTTCGTAAACGCGACATTTTAAAGAAAAATGTTTCAGATAAAAGTTTTGTGACTTCAAGGGGCACATAAGATGGTGTCATTGGTTTGACCTTGGATAGTCGTTTGAAGATCACGTGAAGGTCACCTTTAATTTCTTAAATGGAAACCCCCATTTTTCAATGCATATTCTTGTAGCTTACCTCGAGAGCTTTCCAAAACGCTAT